GGATAATGGAAAAGAAAATGGAAGTTATCCTAAACTTGAACCTTAGATCCTAGAACATGGAAGTTGCCCTTGTTTAGGATTATATAAGGGTGCCTTTTTTGGTGCTTAGCTGCTAGGCTCAGAGTCAGAGTTGGGATTTCCACAAGTGTTGCGAGGGCATTGTTGGCCTGAGTCTGACTTTGGGGTTACATCGATTATGTAGGGGTTTCGCTTAGATGTTGTGTAGCTAGGATGTCCTTAAAGGGGGGGTGGTCCAAGGGGGTAGGTAACCTAGCAATCCCCATTATTCCCTGATACACCCTAAGGTTCCCCAAGGCTCGCTTGTACCCTTCCCCTTGAACCGTCGCCCCCTTTTAGGATCCTAGAATGTAGGGGTTTCGCATGTGGAGTCGGTCTTGCTGATTCATTGCCGGAGTGCAAACTGGAGTTCTGGACATGACACATCTTGGGTAAAAGGCAGCGTAGAATCATGGGGTAGTAGGAGGCGGTGAGATCAAGGATCCCAACTTTTGCTGTTGGTGGCCCAAGTTTAGGGTGTAGGGATTACAGGTTTAGGGATTAGGGGTTTAGGGTTTTAGGGCTTAGGATTTAGGAGTTTAGGGTTCAGGAGCTTCTCTCATATTGGCTATGTGTTTAGGACGGTGCGATTACATTGGTGGACCTTGTTTTGAGACCGCAAACCTTGGGTACGGCCTCCACTCTGTAACAGTTGGATAATATTTATAATATAGTTTACGTAGCTCTTAATCTGACCCCTAATATAGACTGTTGCAGGGCGCCTAAACCCTACATAGTAGCTTCCATGTTCTTTTCAATTATCCTTACAAACCCCTATATTATAACTAACCCAAATGCAAGGTGTGGTGATCCATCGCTGACCCATCATGGCTCATTATCCCTAAATAACCCCTATAAGCCTAGCTTCCTTACCCAACCCCAACCAAATAAGGGATTACCGTCAGATGAGGCCCTGGGATGATAAGATCCATTCTAAGGGCCCTAAGGTCAGAACGAAGGGTTAGGGTTAGGGTTATGCGTGTGGGGCCGCACTGGGGAGTAGGTCCTCGTTTATCCCCAGCGGTATCCCTATATATCTCTATATAAGGCAACTCTAAACCTTAAACTCCAAACCCTAGACCTTAAACTCTAAACCCTAAACTCCATACTAAAAACCTGAAACTCCACACCCTAAACTCCAACCTTGAATCCTAAACTTTACACCCTAAACTCCCAACTAAAAACCCCAAGCTCTACACCCTAAACCCTAAAATCTAGGGTAGAGCCCAGCTGGTGGCTTCAGAGCTGCAGGCTTCAGAGCTACAGGTGGAAGAGGAGCCCAAGCCCCGAGCCTGGGACGCTGGGCCTTCTTTAAGGTTTTAGGGGTTTGAGGGTTTAGGATTTAGGGGATTTAGGGTTGAGGGTTTAGGATTTAGGGTTTAGGATTTAGGGGGTTTAGGGTTGAGGATTTCGGGTTTGGATTTTAGGATTTAGGGTTTGGAGTTTAGGGTCTAGGATTTGTGGGCTTAAGATTCAGGGTTTAGGGTTGCAAGGGCTGCCAGTTTTGTAATGGGAATTGGGGTTACTAAAGAAATTACAGTGAATAGATGCCGAGGCTTAAATTATGACCAAGATTAGGGTCCTAGGTTCCAATTATGGTGCAGGGTACCTCATATAGTACCCACAATGGTATTGGTCATGACTTAGGCCTCTACATTACTGAGGTGGCTTTGCATCCGGTTGCCCGGAGCCCGTCCACGTTGGAGTTCTCTCAGAAGCAGGAGATCTGGCGCAGACGCAAAATCTGACACGCAAAAGCCTAAACCCTATAGGATTTATTTTACTGGCTGTTCGTGGGGAATGGAGGAATGGATCTCAAAAATGATCCCTAATAGTAGTAGTTTCCACTTTCTTGTCAAATATCCCTGTATAACCCTAGTTTTCACCGGATTCTTCATTCTAGTAGTTCCCCTTTTCTTCTGCATTCCTTCATTCCTGACAAGCAACCTGTAAGATTAGGAGCAGCCAAAGCTGAGGCTTGCTTTACATGCGATGCAATGTGGGCCTGTGCCAGAATTCTGCTCCCTACAGTTTCGGGTTCAGGTGCTTGGGAGCCCTAATTTTGGCACGCCCAAAATAGTTTCTAGGTAGTTTGCTGAGGAAAGTTTAGGACTAGGCGTCGTAGCAAGCATGAGAAGCACATGCGACTCGGCGGCGGGCAGCGAAAAAGGCACACGCCGCTGCACTTGCTTCCCGCAGCTTAGTCTCTAAACTCTAACCTCCAAAGAGCCAGCCCAAGAGCTTCAAGTCAAAAAACAGAAAGAGGTAGCTTTTTCATCCTCGAGTCTTGTAGTAAGATGATATGCGCTGGGCAGTAAGGCCAGCCCTTGGAGTGACATGCAGGTGCTGCAGCAAGCGGGCGCCGACACTTCCAGGCAGCTGCAAAGTTGCCGTGCTGGCTGCAGTTTAGTCATCGCCCATTGTAACCCATATTGCGTGCAATTGGAGGATGATTGATTTCCGGGTGGGTTTGTGCTTGGGACACATCATTAAGGGCATGCCGATAGACTGCAAAGCTTGACCAGGTATGCAGCCACGGCAGGTAGATTCTCAGCCCCTATAGTTTTCGTTTACGGGTCCTGCTTTGGGGTACTCTCTTATTCGGCGTTCCCCATGGAATCTACACTGAGCTCGCAAATCCCATCTTGCTTCCTCCGCAGTCCTGAAATGTCTGCTCGCTTGAGTGCTGCTCTGCTGTTGAGAGCTCTGATGGGTGCAGGGCTTGAGCAGCAAGGTTGCGGAGGAAGATGCAATTCGCAATGTGCGCAATCAACTCATGCCCCAAATCAGCGTACCAAGGGTCAGATTTGCCTTGCCGGCCTGCTCTTTTAATTGGCACAGGAGTTTACCGGACGGAACAACCACAATGCACTTCGCCGCGGAGCACGGCAACCAGGACAGCTAAAGCAATCTGACAAATTGCATATTCTGAAAATTATATGTCTTTTTCGGTCATGTAGTATAGTACGGCACCTAATATTTATGAAGTGCCAACATGGAAACTTGACATCAGGAACTGCCCTTATGACCCAGATGCAGCCAGGGCCAGTCTGGAGCTTGTGCACCAAATAAGTTGAAAGTATGCTTCTCAGTCCGGCAAGCCAAGGAGGCCATTTTGCTTTAAAGCTGCTTGATTTGCTGCTCCAGTGCTATGCCCAGACCTCCATTCTTCCATTGTTAGGATTTTGTTAGGTTTACAGCACTTCCTTATCCACAGCTGCACCCGGGGGTGGGGCTGAACCAATGGCAGATACCCTTGCTCTCAAGCCCCAAGCAGTCAGTTTGCATGAGGAGCTGGCGAACTTGCTTGCAGCCTGGCCATATTGGTAAAGACATGCAAGCTTCGGGAATTCTCAGTTCGGGGATGATCAGCGTTTCAACGTCTCAGTGGATTGCGGTGCAGCTGGGCTCTACACGCCCGATTCCTCTAACAGATGCTCCACAAGAGGGACACATGTCCGCAGCTGCCACAGATTTCCACCTTGCTTTAGGGGGGTTCCAAAAATTTGGATCAAAATTCGAAGGCTCCACCGTAAGGACACTCAGAACCCAACATTCAATCAACCACCATTTGAAAGGAACCCTATCTATTGCTAAACCCTAAACAAAACCCTGAATACTAAATATTTATAGTAGTAATTTCCATTTTCTTCTCCATTAATACTTAGTTTCCATTTTGTTGTCCATTACTACTGAGTTTCCATTTTCCTTTCCATGATTACTCAGCCCAGGTTGATGCGCAGGCTGACGTGGATAAGGCGGAGAGCTGTGGTGTCAAAACTTGGTTGACACATTGCTGTAGTATGCTATAGTCTAAGCTCCTTAAAGGGGGTTTGCGTAGGTTCCGGATTTAGGGTCTAGACTCCTTGAAAAAGGTTATATAGGGTAGTATGCTATCTAAGGTTAGAAGTTTGGGTCCCTACTTTTGGCCCTTAGGCCTTTTAGGGGGATTCTAGGGACCCTAAGGGGCACATGCAGGGCAAATAATAGGTATATAAGAGTCCCAGGGATAAGGGCAGATACTTGCATTATACCGGTCATTTTGGGGGATACTAGGAGCTCAGACCACAGCTCACATGTACAAAAGCAGCTTCAATACACATGGAACCATGGATAGAAGGCCTTGATTCTATTAGGGCTAAGGAGGGTTCTATAAGGAGATGTAGGGTTTAAGATGTATCGCTTCCATACACAGGGGGCCCAATGTCGAACCCAATGCAATGTATTGCACTCTTGTTTATTATATAAAAACTCCCAGAAGGGGGCCACGAAGTGCTTCGATCCTTCCCACAATTCCAAAGCAGTTGAGAGCTTGGCTAGCCTCGCGCACTGAACCCTAGCCCTGAACACTCACTCCTGAGATAGGAAAGAGGTTTGTGAAAGAGCAATCCTCAGATGGCAGGCCATGCCGCGAAGTGGATAAGACAACATTCTACTGGACATGCTGCTGCTTAATGGAGAGTGGGGCAGTTGATCCCTATGATGATCCTATACACAATATAATCCCCATTTTTTTACCTTATAATGGTATGTATATTTACTCCCCGACTCCCCTTGAAGCACCAGTAGGTAGATTCTACCCTGGTCATCAGGGCTGCCAGAATGTTTGATTGACAGAGTTTTGCTGGAGTTGGTTTTCAAGCTGCGTGAGCATAGCTTCCTCTGCAGTCACAACCACCTGCCACAATCCTGAGGCCTGCTGAAGGATGCAAACTAGAGGTTGAGATGTCATTGCATCAATGGTGATCCAAGGGTTGGTTTCCAGACCTGGGTCTAGATACTAGTTGCTAACAGAGACAAAGCCCGCAAAGATTTCGCCCAAGTCTGCTTGCCATGGCAACGCAAATCCGGGTGAATGGTAGAGATGCTTGGCCAAGAGGCTGCGCCAAAGTGTGTCGGAGACTTGCTTCTATATTCCAGCTCTTTTGTTCGCATCATTTTAGGATTTGGAGCCCTTGCTCCTCAGCCGCATTTGCGATCGGGGCGTGGAACTGCAGCCCGAGAATCTCATCGTCACCAGGCACCGGAGTACTGCGCAAATTTCATGTGATGTAGGGCTTGATAGGGTCGATCAGAGGACGCACCAACTTGACCTCTGTGTTTCCGTGGGCGCTTTCTCATTCTGACCCTTAGCAGGCATGCTTGTTCAATTTTGGAGTTTTCCTCAGGACTTGGCTCAGAAGCACTTCGTACCTACATATCCCGCCTCATGTCGACTAAGACTTTGCAGGACGCAGTCTGGCTATGTGAAACAAACCTATGCAGAGCACGGTCGGCGCGCGCTCGGATTGCATTTGGTCCAGAAGCAGTCGCACAGCCTTTGCCCCAATCAGTTGTTTCGGCAGAGTAGGAGTCTGTAGGGTCCTTATGAAGGGATGAGAAATAGTCTATTAGGGGTCCTCGTGGGGAATATAGTCTGGGATGCGGCGGACCATCATTTTTGGAAGTGCCCCTGGTTTTCCACAAAGTGCGCTGGTGCAGGCATTACTTGAAATGCGAGGGTCCTCGGGTGCTATTTTGCCGCAGGTTCTATAGGTCTGATAGCGATTTAGAGTTTAGGGTTTAGGGCCCAATGTAGTGCTTCAAGACTACATGTATTCATACTACGGGGTTCCAATAGGGGGCCCCCAAGTAGGCCCCAATGTACTTGGGTCCTTTATTCTTGGGTCCTTTATTATAGGGAACTTATATATGTCTTTATGTTGCTATGTGTACACATATATATATACACACATACATACATATGTCTCAGCACGTATATAATTATGATGATTATGAGATATATATACATATATATGGATGGCATGGTGTTATTCCTGTTCTACATATAAACATGCATATCTCTGTGTTAACGGCTCGTTCTAGCAAGGCGAAGCAGCTGGCCTCTGCCTTATCGAAGTGGGGCGTGAAGATCGAGGACTTGCTGGGGATGGTTTCCCCCAAACTAGGGATACCTCTCAAGGGGCTACAGGGATATATATATATATCTATATGGAATATATATATATATAGATATATATATATAGGGGGTATTCAGGTGCATGTGGGGATTCAGCGCAACTACCACTTGTGAGAATTCGCGAGCCAGAAATCTGCGGCCTGCTTCATTCAAATAGGATGTTTTGCATATAGCATACTTATGCTATTGTTATGGGGTGCCGGGATTCAGTATACTATAGACTGTAATGGGTTGTGGGTATATATTCTAAAGGAGATGGCAGTGGGGTTCCGGAATATTGTATACACGCTACGACAGAGTTTGGGGATACATTATCTCATAGATGATAATTGGGAATTTGGGACATAGACTATGGGATATATTGTAATATAGATTATGATGGGATTCGGGATATGCTATACTCTATCTAGACTATACTGATATTCGGGGATATGTTTTGTTATAGACTGTGTTGACTATCCTTGATCCGGAAGGAGGAATTACGAGCGGATCGGATAGTTCTCACAATGTCAAACGCCCGCAGATTCCCTAATCTTAAGAATACTTTCTCTACGAATCTATGGGGGACATATTGGCTGCCAGGGGGTCCTTAATATCAGATGGGAGTGATTAGGCTGCATCACGCGGGAAGCCGCCCTCGTATTTGCATCCGAGTGCCAGAACTCAAGCAGCAAGTCCCGTACGCATGGTTTCATTCACAAAAGTGCCTACAAATTCTTTTGTGCATGCAGTAGCTTGTTCATCTTTAGAACCTGGACCGACAGATGCTTCAAGCAGCAAAACACCTCTTTCCAAGCAGAAGCCGTCAGTCAACCCGTGATTTGTAAGCAACAGCCAACAGCGACAGCCTTTACAATGCTCACTACGAAGCACCCTCAACCCTCAGCTGACGGCGCCCACGCTGCAGACTTAGCACAGTTTGCGAGGATCGCGTCGCAACGCTTATGTGGAACACAGGCCCTGCCACATTGGTATAAGCGTCGAAAAGTCCGACGTGCTTTCGCAATACAGTTAGTGGGATGGATGGTAAAGGTCTCTGTAGCTAAACTCATACAGGAAGATGAGGACTTGTTGACCGTGCTCAAAGGTACCCTTCCAGTACATTTAGAGCTTCCACGTTGTAAATAGCACATTCCTTGAAAATGCATTGCGCCCCAAAAACTCAAATCTAAAGCCGTAAAGCCCTAAACCCTAGCCTAAAGAATGCATCAGTGTCCATTTTCCATGATCCCTATAGGACCCCCTATAACTCCTGTAGCGTCGGGTCACGTGTGAGGCTGGCACTTTGAATGCTACCACGCCATCTCGTGCATGGGCGCCGTCCTGCACACATTGAACCTTAGCTCCTCGGAATTGAGCTAGGGTCTCCAATCTTTTATACCCTGTTATACCATAGTAGCTACCATTTTCTGTTCCCTTATCTCTATAATATAACCCCATTACAAATATATATGTATATGTATCTATATACCCTAGCTCGTCTTTGGATTGGGTATTGGAAGCTTTCAGGTTGTGATTTCGAATGGGGCCCAGTTTCAGGCTGAAGCTTTTTCAACAGCGGAGGATGGAAAACTAGATCTTCGAGTTTCTAGTCGAACTGTTTTGCCTGAGGGCTTAGCGCTGCAGACCAGAACTACATCATCTCTCACGCGCAGGCTCCGCTTGCGTGCTCGAAAGCGTCAAGATCTCAAGAGGCGCGCACAGCCCGTGAGCCATGTGCCTGCACAGGACAGGATCATCATTGCCGATGCTGTCCTCTTGAAAAACCTTGCCGAGGCCGAGAGCGCCCTGTTCAGCGAAGGAGACAAGATCAAAAGCGTCAATGTCTGGATTACGCCGACCTTCCATTTATTGCACATGACTAGCACTTTGCACTGCGCAGGTTGATCCAGCTGTGTTGGCCTCGGTCGAGCTCTTCATATGTGTGGGCGAAGACGGCAACACTGCTGCAGAAGCAACAACCTGGACTGTGGGTCTAGCATGCCGTTGACTGATCCTTTATGCGAGCAGTGGAAGGGGTGACGATTGACGGGGAACGGGGCGGGGCTTTGCTTTGACAACCACACATAAGTTTCTTCGCTCCTAAACAGTAAGGAAAGCAACTGCTTTGTTTGTCTGGAACTGGACCGCAAGATGTCACACAACGCAAGGTGAGCCTGGCAAGTGGTCTCTCCCTCCAGAGCTGGAGACGTGGCATGTGATTAGAGGTGGCTTCAGCGGAAGCACCCAACAGCGCCCAAGCTGCTGAGCCCTCCACTCGATAATGGTGTGTGTGGGTTTGGGGCATAGTTCCCATCAGCATCCTCCTCGCAAATCCCCGCAACAGCTCTAGTCCATTTGCAGCCCTGGGCCTTCAACGATAAGCGCTAGGAATGGTACGCCTACTCCAGTAACCCCTGCAAAAATACCAGGAAGACTATCAGAACACCTGCAAAATCATATTCCATCGCAGCTGTCATACCACGCTAGACGAGAAGACAAGGGACGGAAGAATACCAATGCTACGCATGGCAGTCATACCTGTACCTAAGAAATGCAGTGCAAACAGGAAAAGCTTTCACGTAGCCAGTATTGAGTGCAGCCGATCCAAGGATGTCAAGAAGGCGGTCGACTATGAGACCTTCCTCGCAACCGGCAGCGAGGAGAGGGGAAATCTCTTAAAGCGTGGGGTCCCTAATGGAGGGTTCTTCCCTTTACCTCAAAGCTACCACGGCAAGTGGAGCTCAGAGTGCGACAACCTAGTCCCACAACCCTAGACACACAAACCTGTGGAGCTGATTGTGGATAGGAACCCCGTTATCCTCTGTAATCTCCACACATTCCAGGGGTCCCCCATGATGTGAGGCACCCCCAGAATCTTCCAGCGCAGCAAGCTGTCGACTGTGAAGGATTTTCAGTGGCCCTTGGTGCCAGAGACCTCCACCATGGGTTTATGAGCGCCGGCCGCATTCAGCAAGAACGGCGTGCTCCTTTCTGGTACTGAATTTCAACATGTTGGGTCCAGGTAGGGCTAAGTGGTTGATGGGTTGGTTATGGACTATCAGAATGAATTCTGTACGTGACTTTTGTGCCGTCGTAAGAGCTTCCCGCTCCTGCTCAAAGGTTCTGGAATGACAGCCTTGAAGGAATTATTTGTAGCTATGCAAAGCGTGGCTGCTGATCACCCAGAAGCATTTGCCCTCGATGGTGTTCTCCCTCCTTGCGCTGTCTCTTGCGGCAGTCATCGGCAGTCTCCACCGCAGCACTCATTTACTTCTGCAATGGTGATCGTTCGTGCTCTTTTCATGTGGTGGGACGGCCTATTCCTGGACTTGCCCCAGGTACGTGAAAGCGGACAAAGCCTTGGAACTCTTCGCTTCAGCTCTCTCACGACTGTCAAGCTGTAGAGCAGGAAGCAAGGGTGGTTCTCAAGATACCCCGGATGTAGTCCCCTGATAGGGGCACCCTAAAAGCCTCCAACAACCCCCCTACGATCCCGACATCCCTTTCGCTCTGGCATAGCCTTGACCTTCCCTGTAGTTTCAATCCAAAAGCTAGAGCCTCCTAGATTTCTGGGATCTCTGCCGCAGGCCTAAAACCCAAATGCGTGATCAAACTTCTACTATCAAGCCTGCGACTCTACGAGCTTGAACAAGTACCTGCATTCTCTCCAATATGCACCTTATACAGTGTACTACCAGGAACTACGTACCCAAAAACCTGATTCCAAATTTGCATGCCCCTTACTTAGCTAGCTGCACCCTAGAAAACGACCCCGATAGCCTAAGCCTTAAATCCTAAATAGCAGCTTCCATTTTCTTTTCCATAAGCCCTGTAGAACCCCTATATAACCCAGCTTCCTTCAGGCTACACCTCGGGCACCACCGGACGACCAAAAGGCAGGCCTGCATGGTGGATGCTCGTGTGTCATATTTTTGGCATAAGGGTTAGCATCGTGTGGTAGTAGGGGATCCGGAACAAAAAAACTTTCCTTCTGCATTCTGGGAGCAGGAACGTGGTTCAACCCATATGTGGGCGTATGCCTCGCTTGAGTTGGCATGCAACAATATTAGCGCCCTGAGATACAGCACACTTGCCTGTCAGGGATTTGAAAGAAGTTCGCGCAAAACCTGGGCTTAAGACTGTACAGTTGGAGCAAGATATTAGGCAACCATATTGATGCATTGCCCTGTGTACCAGCACGGAAGCGAAGCCAACCCCTTTGTGCCATCCAGCTGGGACGAGGTGTTGGATATTCACAGCGGTCAACGTATCTGCACACGCCACTTGGCACAACAAGCTGCAAGCTGGCAGCGCCTACCAGAAAGGTTGCCTTGTTACTTGGTCATCCTCAGCACCACATGATGTGACGACAGGATGTTCCTGCACCCTTCACCAGCACGTAAGCAAGCTGGAAATGCTTCTATCTACCAGTTTCTTGCCCGCAGTCATCCGTTAAGCTGTACCTACCCAGGCGAATACGCTAAACAGATGCAGGTCTCAATAGCAAAGCTGCTGCTTGAGGAGGCAAACATCATCGAAACTATCTGTATCGAAGTACATTGAAAATTTACTGGTTATTACTATTATTATTGTTCTTATCATTATGTTCTTCCCATCTTTACCATTCTTAATTCTGCGCCTTGCAGCCGCTAAACCTTGATCGCACCAAATTCCTGATCTAGCGTTACTGTTAACAGTTTAACGAATAGATTAATCCCTTTCCCTGAATATTACCCCACTGAAATATACAGAATTTGCCACTGGCCTAGAAACCCTGAAGAGCACTCTAAAAGAGATTCCCCTAATCATGATTTGGGGGGTTCGTCCTTCTTATTGGTTCAAGGGATTGTTGAACCTAAATCCCAAACACTAAAGGCTCATGTCCAACGGAGTGGATCAGCTTGCAATCTCTGGCCGTCAAGTGGTGCTCCCGCCGCTCGGACCGGGATTGGAGGAGCTTTGGAAGATGAGTTGTGGCATTTACTAAACTTGAAAAAGTCATGGAACCTTTGTGGAAGTGCATGGGTTCTAATCTAAGTTGGGGCTGGAACCCCAGTGTGTTATCTGTGGGTTCAGAATGTGAGTTTAAACCCTATAAACCCTAAACCCTAAAATCGTAGGCGAGTGGAGTGGCTTGTCGGATTTCAGCAGTTTACGACATCACACACTGGACAGAAGCCAAGGTAACCAGCCTTACTGGGACTGAATAATGGCTATACTAATAATCGTAGTAAATAATGGTCGTAACAATAAATGAAATAAGAGTCATAAAAGAAATAGTAAGAGAAATGATCATGATAAGGGTTTAGGTTGGTTGGGACGCGATTTCACGGTGGGTGGGACTCCAAGGTTGTAACAGCGTGAGTCAAGATGGCAAAATGCACGCAGTCAGCTCACGGAAGGGAATCGCCCACCACAAGACCTGGGTAAGCTGAACAAGTTGACGCGTTAAAACCCAGGGTGCGCGCCTTTGTCCGTAGTGTCCATAACATGTTGCCCCTATGGATTCCATAGCTGTTCAACTGCAGCCGGGTTTTGTGTTGATGTAAATTAAGGCTGCCGGCAGCTTTACTCTACCAGTCTGTGTTCGAAAGGGTCAGTTTCAACAACCGCTGGCACTGGCAGGTTTGTCCCAATGTTCCACGTCCTCAGCCGCTCGGCCTACGGATCGCGACCAAAGTCGTTTTGTGATTGGACATAGATACGGCCCTCACTTAGAGTAGAATAAAGCAATATTTGGGGGGTTGTTCTAGCGGAGCCCTTGCAATCTTATCTCGTCGACATAAACAAAAAGGAGAAAGCCAAGCTCGATAAGCCAGGAGCGTCGTCAATTTCAGACCACAGTTCAGCGCAAAGATGACGTATGCAGTCAAACGTATCAAGCAACTCTTTGAGATTTATCAAAGCATTAGCGATAGACTCTGAATTGCTTTTTGTGTGTTTCATCCACTTTCTCGAGGTTGGGGTGTGCCCTTTAATATTCTGATGATGGGCTGCCGCGCTGTGTTTCCTTCCAGCTTCACAGATGCAGGCACGAGTTACCACTTCGCTCTGAATATCATATTTGGCTATAGTCTGTTATAATACAATATAGTGTGATATAGTTTATAGTCTATTATAATATGTTATAGTATATTAAAGACATATTGTAGTATATGATTGTATCCTGACGGCGTACTTTCTGCTGTCACGCAGCCAAGTTTGGAGCCGTTTGCCAAATTCAAAGGTCTAAATCTAAATGGGGTTTCCCAAAATTACGGGGACCTTTAAAGGGAGATATAGAGTTTATACAGGGATATGTAGGGATTTATAGGGTTTAGGGTTTCCCAAAATTATGGCTACCTTTTGGGGTCCCACGAATAAGGATTATCGTTTTTTTGGGGTCTATATTCGGGTCCCCATAAATCCTGAACCCCAAACCCCTAAACCCAAATTTACTTTCATTGGCTTACTCTCCCAAGAACTTGTTGCCCTCCTGGAGGATCCTTGCTGCAGGCGATGGGTGATTGGAAGCATGGCAGAAATTCAAAGAGTCCCACAATTGAATAGATTTGATGTGTTTTGATTGGATCATTCCTCCTCCCAGTAACTGTCCTCAAAGGGGCCTTATTAAGGGGGTTCTTGTAACTCCTATAACCCATTGTGGTAACAGGTACTGTAAGGGGGAATAACCCCATGTTTTGAGGATAAATTGGGTGAACGGAAAATGTGCCTGCAAGTGGACCTGCAGAGCCTAGGAGTCGAGGACAGTGAAGTGTTCGTCGCCATTTTATGTCCAGAAACGGTAGTTTCCATTGATAGGACGACCACCGTCTGAAGAGGCTTGACAGCCCCGCATGCAACTTACTCCCCCACCCCCCTTAGTAGGGGGGGGGGGTGTTAATATTAAGAGCAGGGATTACATGTTTCTCTTTCCAGGACTTCCTGAAGCCGGGGTATCAGTCCAAACGATGTTTGGATCTAACGGCTATGCCCTGAGCTTACTGGTTCTTCGTAGGGAATAAGGGAAGAGAATATATGGGTATTACATAGGGATGATATTCCCATATTTCCCTACCGAGAAGCAGTAAGAAGGTCAGAAACAATAAACGTTCTCAGCTAAGGAAAGTCCAGCTGTCCTGCGGTGTGCCAACCGTCTGGCAGGGCGTGCGGTCACAGATTGAGAAAGAAGGCACAGCTGCCAGCGTAGCGATAACAGCCATGGCACCAAGAATGAACTGCTTCAACAAGACTTCCGCATAAGCACAGGAAATGCATAGTCAATAATAGTATAGCAATACGAATATAGCGATAATACAGTAATACAAGTAGCATAACAATGATAATCGTAAGAATAACGATGCAACTGTTGTGTTCTAGAACTCCAGAAGTCTGAGAAACATGCTTTCTCATGACTTCTTGGAGTTGCATTTTACCATTGCAGAAATTCCGCTGCGGCATAGATGCCGGCACCCTCTGAGGCATATATAGTCCCCCTTAAGTAGATAGAATATGGCTTTGGGTATATTATGATAAGAGCCCCATATACCCCATATTCTATCTACTTACGGGGGACTATAGGGTAAGGAGAGCCTCAGAGCCTTTGCGAAGAAGTTGTTGGGTTGGTGTGCATTACTTGTACATCCCAAGCCTTGAGCCGGATGTCTGAAAACTGTGACTCGCTTTCTGAGGGTCTGTGAGGACTAGTTCAATATTTCGGGGATATGTGAACAGACCCTAAACCCCAAACCCTATTTTCAGATATCAGAACGACGAGTTGAAAGATCAACTAAAAACCTTTCAGCTGCAGGCCGCAGAGGTGTGGAGTTTGCACATGGAGCCCGAAACCCTACATGTCCATATGAGCTATAGTCTAAACTCCCGCAAGGAGTTGTATAGGGGAATATATAAGGACTACTATAGAGGTTATGAAGGGGGATACTAGGAGTTTAGACATTGGTTCATATGGGGCTTCCGAAAAAAACCGGCGGGCCCTTTTTGGGGATACCCAGAATTAGGACTATAGCATGCTGGGGCAGAAAGGGGTCACTTTGTGGACACTCCCATAGTTACCTTGTTGAAGACGACCCCTCTTTAAGGGACCCCCGTCATCTCTGTACCTAAACCCTAGTTTCCAGTGTCTTTTCCATTATCCCTGTGAACATCCCCAATGTACTCTAGTAGTTTCCATGTTCTTTTCCATCATCCCCGTATAAACCCAATATATATATATATATACACCCTATAATCTGGTAGCTTCCATTTATTTTCTAGTACCCCAATATTACCCCAATGTATACCATATAACCTTGTAGTTTCCATGTTCTTTTCCATTATCCCCAATATTTCCCCAATATATACCCTATAATGTAGTAGTTTCCATTTTCTTTTCCATTATCCCCCTAGAGCCCCTATTAAACAAGGCTTGGCGCAGTGGAAGCCGAAGCTGGCGTTGCAGCGACTGGTTTGCGGAGGCCAGGGTTTAGGGTTTAAGGGTCTAGGGTTTAGGGTTCTGCCAAATCATAAGTTCAGGGCCTCTTCACTGAAGGGGAGCCCTGGACCAAAGTTATAATTGGGGCTCTATGAGGATAATGGGAAGGAAAATGGGAACTACTATAGTATCTTGGGGATGTTAAGAGGGAGAATGGAAAAGACCCTGGAAACTACTCTAGGGTTTAGGTAGTATATTCCTGGAAGGTCCCCCGTTTAAACCCCCTCTACATCCCTTCGGTTGAGGCTCTGCTCCCGCGCCAGAGATGATGAGATGGTACCTGGCCACTCGCCCCATATATGTGAGGAAAGGATGGAGTGCTGCATCCCTCTTTGCATGTAGATATCACATGTGGGGGGGTTCCTAAAAGGGGGTACATTTTTTGGGGTCTTCATAATAAGGACTATGATATTTTGGGGTCTATATTGGGGTACGCTTATTTTAGGAAACTGACACGTACCAAAACATAGTTTAAAATGCAGTAATTAAGTTTTGAATTGGCTGTTCGCCTGAGTACGTGTGAGTGCTCTGATTGGATAGCTCAGAACAGTGGATGAGTTCGTGGTAGTACAAGAAGGCTTATGCGACAGATGCACTTACAGGTAGTGAATCGGTAGCCGCGCAACTCAATTCGAGATGAGACCACGGAGCATTGAATCAGGCAGTAAGAGCAGCGTCTAGTCTAGTTGCAGCCTGACAACCTGGGACTCACTCTGACACAGGGAACCTCAGAGAAAGCTTGCGGTGTCAGCCATTACCTTGCATTTGTAGTTTTCATGCTTTAATGCCAGGTAAGTCAGCACGTACGTGAAGACACCAGTGTTGTCCAGCATTGCCACGTTATTGGCACAGTCTGTCCAGAGTTCAGACTCATGAAGAATGCGTATCGCACCCCTTCCCAGCAATTCATCTCAAAGTGTTGAGCATCTAAACAGTTGTCCACTTTAACAAAAGCACTCCTGGGCTAGCTAAACTTGTTTGGTCTCTACACCCCTGGACTACTTGCTGCAGCAGACAGCGAAAGGACAAGTGCCCAGATGCTTGTGTGAGATAGTCAGGATCAGCTCGGCGTCGAGTTCATCCAGGCTTGTGCAGGGCTCCTTTGCTCCCGGAGCTCTTTCTGTGGTCATGAAAAATTCCCAAGGACACTTGCAACAATGAGAGAAGGTTCTCTCAGCAGACCATGGCATCGTCAAGTCTAACAAGATAAGACCCTGAGATGTAAAGTACAGTTCAGGCAGGTTTTACTCTTGCATCTGCATGCTTGGGCATGGGCTTTGTGATTCTGAAAGCTTGAAGACCCGGAGCTCCAGGCACATAGATGGCGAGAAAGCCCTAACCTAGAACATGCACCACACCCCTGAATTGCCATGAATCACGACGAGAGGTATCTACGCCTGACAACTCCCAGATCTACCCAAATTGCAGAGCTGAGGGGTTGCCGTCTCTTATGCCGAACGCTAAGGGGGTCACATGTCCAAGTGGGGCCAGACGAGCAACATGATTTAACACAAAGGCCCCCTTGAAGATTTCGTCCATGTCCGGAAGCAGAGGTGTGGGGCATGACAGAGACTAACCCTCTTGGCTCGACTCTTGGCTGGAGGTAGACTTGGGTAGTTCCCAGAACTAGGGGTACCATTTTGGGGGTCCCCAAAAACAGGATTATAGTAATTTGGCGTCTATATATTTAGGGGAACTACTACTTTACCACGCAGGAGCGTTTGCAGGTCTCATATGATGTCCAGACTGATGCCCCTGCTGTTCTATCAAGATTCCCATCTTGCGAACATCCCATGCATAAACAATGCCTAGACTACAGTTTCAAGTGCCTCTGAGGATGTCAATACGTTTAGCCAAAGTCTCGGATTTGGCCAAAAGCTTGGGCCTCAGCTACAGATAGCTGAAGTGGTTCTGGGTTTGAATTAGTATTTTTGACCAATACGTGTGAGGGCAAACACTAGTTCTTCATGAGGGCTATCTTTGTTCCGATTGCAGGCTAACGGGCTTTGCAGGGACCAGGGTGCACCCTGCCAGGGTGCAATAACGTCAGTGCAGTGTGTAGCATTCCTATGTGAGCGAGTCGTGCAAGCGCACCATCATGCCCCAGCTACAACACCTGGCATTGCAAGAAGCCTGGCGACTGAACATCTTGCAAGGCGTCGACGACACGTTCAAGAACGTAGTGAAGGCTGGCTTGCCCACCCCAGGATTCTCAGCTTGTTTGGAATGGAACACTGCCATGGCCAGCGCAGGTGGCTAGCACCCTTTTTGCCAAACCATATCTGCATAAAGTGCACGGCCCGAAAGGCAGCTGCCTCCAGCTCCTGCCTTTGGGGTCTCCCAAGATGTATTCCAGGTATTTCCGAGTATTTCGGCTCTCTCACTTAGGGCCGAGGGGTGTTCTGTGACCTGGTAAGGAGTGCAAGTTCGCATCGCGCAGTTCGAAGATCTAAGTCGCGACGCTCCTCGCGGTAAAACAGGTGAACTGCTGCCTGGCCGCACACTCGATGAGGTTGGCAAGCCGAGCACGCCTACATGCTATGCACGTTCTGCAACGTGGGTGTTCTTTTGGATCAAGACCGTCTCGATGCATACTCGTGTGCAATGATGCAATAGCGCAAACTTATCTTGTCGAAACTTCACACCGTTGTTTTTAATCTGGAGTTGGTTCAGCGAAGCTGCTGGAGATCTCCGGGGCAGTGTCCACATTCAGAAAGGTTCCTCTGTTCTGGACGGCCGCCAGGCCATAGCTTAAATGTTGGGTAAGCCACTTCAAAACTTCATTTGTTGCTGCTCATGTTCTTATACCTGACAGGAACCCTGAGTGCACATGAGACGGACAGAGGTCTCGATATCTCCCAGGATATCCCAGCAACAATCCCATGAAATCTCAGCATCCATCTTAGACTCTTTAAGATCCTATTCTGTCAAGTTTGGCCCATACATCGCATCCCCTGCCCCATGCTCTTCCTCAGAGGCTCGTGCGAGGGCCATGGGTCATCCAGGACTACTTTCAGGCACGCCTGAACCCCTATAAGCCCCTACATGAGCTTCAGTCTAAACTCCTTAAAGAGGGGTTATGTAGGGGTTATTAAAGGGGATACTAGGAGTTTAGACTATAGCTCATTTCATGTTCCATTTTCTTTTCCATTTGGTTCTCCATCATTCCCATATACTAACCTTGTGACCGGAGGGAGTTTATGGCTGCCGCCTATGTGCTTATTGACACCTAGGCTTATCCTTGCCTCATTTCAAAGATTGAAACCAAGGGCCCCTAGTATGGGCCCTTAACCCTGGGATCCTTATATACCTACTATATACCTTACATGTAGCCTTAACGGTCCCTAGAATCCCCCTAAAAAGCCTAAGGGCCCATACGTCTAACCTTAGATCATTGTATTTGCAATCGGATCCAACCCTAAACCCTAAACCAAGCAGGAGCCTCTGCCTTGGGGCTTAATAGTTCAGTAATATGAGCTGTAGTCTACACTCCTTAAAGCTTAAAGGGTGTTATATAGGGGATTTTTTATTCAGATATATGGGACTAGTATAGGGGTTATTAAGGGACATACTCGGAGTTTAGATGATGGCTCATACGGGAATAATGGAGAATGAAATGTTCTTGTGAAACCGCTTATTCGATCATGCTGGGCAATCAAATTCCCAAGGCAGTGGTCCAGCAGGCCCCCCGAGCCTCTACAAAGCAAAAGATCTCTGAGGGGTCTCAATCATGTGAAGAGTTCCTGGGATGAATTGAGAGAGCAAAATGAGCTTGGCTTTAAAGGCCAAACCTTTCAATGCAAAGGCCGGGCTCTATTAACCTTGGAATCCAGAATCTAAAGCCACCACAAACAATCGATTTCTTTTTGAACTGCATATTCCATCAGGCTGAGCAATCAAATTCCCATTACGGCCGTCCAGCAGGCCCCTGAACGTCAATAATGTAGAAGTTTGGGCTTGTCTCAGTTGTAGAGATTTTTTGGGTGGGTGATTGGTGAGACGACAGACACGGGACCCAGCCCTTCCAATTCCCTACGAAAAGGAACTGAAACACTCCCTTCTTTTCCCTCTCCATATGCATTTTCTTTTTCCTACGAAGCTAAGCTACATTGAGCTGCTCCTGTCCCTTCCCCCTCCGTATGAACGATTCCCGATTCCCCCCAGACTTCCCAATTTTTGGGGGTGGCTTTGGATGGTAGAGGGTCCCCATTTGGTTTGTGGGGGCCCCAAACCAAACTACTTGACCAGGATCCAACATCAATGGGAACTTGAAGCCCGTGTATGTACTGGTACCCCTGTATTTTGGGAAGCCAGGTGGATGCAGCCGATAAGTTCTTCCAAGGCTGGCTAATAACCGGAGATGTCGCAAAGTACCTTGGTTGCAATATGCACAGGTTCAGTAGCACTAGCGCTCCGGGTAATCTATAGCGGATTTTGAGCGAGGCATCATGAGACTACATGGCGCTAGCATCATGTGGTGAAGCTGCAGGCTCGACGAAGAGGGCTTCATCATCATTAGCGACGCAGCGGCACAAAGAACAGCGAGCTTGCCCTACTGTAGCGGAAGACCTTGCGTTCTAGCAGCAAAAGTTGATCCGCCATGCTGCGGTCGTGCCATCTCTGCGGGAACACTTTACTCACGTTGTTGCTTTCAATTGAAGAGTACTTGGTCGTGGGCACGCAGGTGATCGATCAAAAGACGTCATCAAGTCAGGCGCACATGTGCAATCTTGTCTCATGGCCTGCCTCGAACTTTCTAGCTTGAGCAATCTCAAGACCGTTAATAAACTCCAGACATGCGGACAGAGCTTCACAGCAAAAAAGGGTCAGCACAGGGCTGGCCCCCATACTGATACCCGCACAACTTCATCTCGTGTGACAGGTGGCGAGTGGATCTCTTCCATCGACATGGAGACCTTCTGCTGCAAATCAAACTTTTCACTGGTTAGTTCATGAACGCTGCTGCACTCGGGCTGGTGCCGGAGAGACACCAACGTCCTGGCGAGGAATGCGCTGACCAGTCTGTCGGGAGTCAGCGCAGCCGCTGTCGTGGGTGTCCCGCAACATGGCACCAAGACCAGGGTTAAGCAGCATGGCAGGGAAGATGAGTAGGTTGTGGCAGTGGCAAAGCCAGCACCGTGGCAGAAACTATAGCTTGCAGAGAGCTGTAACTTTATCACCTCATCTGCGGATGGAGGCATCCTCGATGGGATGAGAGGCCAGTAGCGGTGGCATCTTCGCTGCAATTGTTAACATGTTGCACGATGCAAGCAGTCCAGTGTT